ATCAGGTGCAGAGCGATGCAGACCATGCAGACCACCGAGCCTCAGGTTGGGACCGGCGTTGGCATCGCGGCAAACACGTACATACTACACGCACATGAAATACGTATGCGTGCGGCATGCGGGGTTTCAACTTGAGAAAAATCCAGAAAATGTTCAATAACCAACGTTAAATCAATCTGTAAGTAAGTGTAAGCATGAGGCGAAAGCGATATGACACCACCACGGCTGGCTGGTTTGACTATCATCATCAAGACACTGGTTGGTGTGGTAGTTGGCTCTCTGGTTGTATCGAGTTTAGGTGTAGAGGCGCCAAGATATGGGTGAGCTGTAGGGGCGAGGGTCGGATTGCCCTCAAGAGATCTGCATGTGGGCGAAACAAACAAGTTGTTCGCGGGTTTGATCTTGCAGCCAAATTCCCACAGAAGAAGGATCTTTACATCGAAGGAAAATCTCACCGAACTCGCTCCCAAAAATGGCACAAGCCCCATCTGAAGAAGTCTTTCGATATGCACACAACATCTATTTTTCCTCTGTCTACTCTTTGCATGTTCTTGAATCATCACCCCTTACCACGGTGCTCTCTTTACCCCACTCCGGAAGGATGCCTTGTACTTCCTCTAAGAGACCGATACGTCTCTAGAGGTCCCACAGAACGGAAACAAAACAAAAATCTACGAGGCCGGTACGGTCTCTAGAGAATTCACAGAACGGTAAAAAACAATGTGAATGAATGATCACGTTCACCCCGAAGCTCCGAACCACGCACGTTTTTGAGCCGAACGCCCGAGGCGAGAGGAATGAGACCATCGGCCGTCCTGCACTGCATTAGGACGCCATCAGCAACTTTGTTTGATTGGTGCCTCCTGCGTTATGTTTGGCTGTGTCAATGACCGGCCTTCTCAAGCACCAAATACGAGCCTGCAGCAGGCGCTACCGGAACCAAATTGCTTCGATGTCGATCGATTTGTCCCTTAACGTTGCCTATCCTCCACCAAATTGAAGCCCCGTCCAATCTACAGCTTGATTGACAAGTCCTTCGACGCTGGAATAGCCGTGTGCCTGCCAATTTTGCCTGCCAACGAGAGGTTCGGGCCTCACCGTTGCAACCTCCCGACGAGGACGTATGTTCCCCGCAAAACGACGGTTTCAAACTATTTTACTTGCGCGCGCAAAATGTTGCGGAACAAATACATCACCAATCCATTTAGTTTATTTTCCTGATCTCGAGACGTGTGCCCCGCGATAGACTAATCGCCGCGTTTCCGGGGAAACAGTATTTGTTCGTGTGTTCATGTACAAACGAGCGCGCATAGAGGGAAGGAAGCAGCGATTTGTGCAGGCGTGCTTCTGTATCTCTCTTCCCGAACAGTCTTGTACTCTGGATACGTGCGAAGATTTGGTAGTTCCACACGACCCCTCAGCTTGCGGGTTGTCACAGCTGTTGTTCTCCAATTTCGTAACAACCAAATTCGCGTAGTTTTGCACGCAACACAGAAAATATTTTCCTCGTCTGTTCCCTCTACATCAGACTGGGTATTGGCGTTGTCCATCCAGACTATACTTACCGCTTTGTTCTTGCCCTAGCCGTCGTCGTAAGCATGCAACAAGATTCTCATAGCACTACTTTTTGTGCGAATATTCATCTCTTCACTGCTCTCTACACCACCCTAAAAAATAATCGAAAACCTCTTAGACGACCAGTCAGTATGGTTGCCCGAAGCAAGCTGCGACACCAAAGATTTTCAACGATTTTTTTCCGGCCAGAGGAGAAGGGCCTCCACTTGCTCTACCCTACGGGAGAGTGCGTGTTCGTCCCATCTATTCTGGAGCAGTCTGCACGCCCTTCGGTGTATATATCTGGCGTATTGGCCGGGGTCATAAGTAGTAGTAGCTGATTTCTTCTTTTATCTCTCTCCCTCCAATCGTCTCGTCTGCGCTCGGTAACTGTCTTCTAGAAACGTAACTTTCAGACAGATTAATTCATGCGGCCCCTTTCGTTTTGGGGCGCGTCGGTTTTTTTCCGTGCGTTAGATCAAGCTTCCTCATTTTGACCCTCTTGTGCCACGACACCATGAGTCGTTCGCTGCCGGGACTTTTCAGCTGTTGTCGTCACGGACCCGTCGGCCTAAACGAAGTTCCGCGAAAACACAAGCAACAGGGGAAGGGAGCGTGAGGCTATATCGAGAGCTCGGAATGTTTTTTTCACGCCATGCCTGGTCGTGACATGATGGAAAGTTGCAGGGATGTTCACGGTACGTTTTCTTTCGAAGGTGCGATACGGTGCGGTAGTTACGACCAGGCAGACGTGACACTCGAGACAAGTTCGAGATGAAGAAAAACGCATCGCACCGCACCGCACCTTGATCGTGTCAAAAAACAATAAACCGCGCGGCGGTGCGGTTGCACACCGGTGCATGCACCTCGGCATTTTTGTATTTCCCTTTGTACGAGACAAACTACACTACTGCTGTATTACTTCTGTTTACTGCTGCCGGTACAGAATGGGTGACACACGGTAACAAACATACACCCCGGACAGATTTCAAGAGCCCGACCACTACACTATACTGCTGTACTCCACAGAAAAAAACAGTCGCGGTGCCAAAAATGAAGCCGTTGTGGAGCCGTCTTGTCGAGAGCTTTCCAAAACGTGACGCGTGATTTTTGCATCCTCTCCATCGTGGAGAAGTCGAGCTCTGAAAATCGGTCAAGGGGGTGTGGTATCTTGTGTCACGCACGACAGCTTGCCCCTTGGTTACCCATCGATGTGACGACTTCGAGGGAGGTTCCAACGGCATGCTCATATCTGCTGTTGTTGTAGGCAACCGCTTCATGTGATACGCGAGCGATACAATGGTCATCATATGTCAACCTCAGGTACTGCGGTGGCGCTGTGGCGACGACACACGCGGGACAATAGCCGCGCCGGCAAATATGCCGAATCGACATTTGAACCATAATCCTGTCATCGAAATCCCGGGAATGGTTCAGTATCATCCCCGCCCTTTGGTTCGAGGTTCTAGAAGAGAGGCGGCCCGAGGCCCGAGAGATTGGGAGCCGGTGTCACATCAGCACCGAGGCAGAGTTACCAATTACCGCAAGGAGACGGCAACGGTAGCAGCAGCAGCAGCAGCAGCAGCAGCAGCAGCAGCAGCAGGTGTGTACAACTACAGCCGAAGAATCACCAGAGCAGTAACGAATGGGGGCAACCAATGGCATCGTTTTACGTGTGTCTGAAATTGGGTATTTCGGTGATCGACCGTCACATGTCGAAGGCAGACACCAACCTAATAAGAATTATCTCGGCAACAACAAGGCACCCTGCTTGGTGTACAGAAACGGCAATTCAGCATCACATTGGCGTTCAGTCTGCTCGTTGCACGGGTATTTGATTTGTTTATTTGGTGTGTTGTTTGGCGGGGGGAATGATTGTTGATTGGTGGCCAACATCATGATCTGCTGTGTTACCTCTCTGGCCGCTGCGTGATCACCTCGTGTAAGGTTACACAAGCACTTTCGTTCGGGGACATGGGTTACTTCCATCATCGCGCGCTGCCACGTGCCTGCCTTTCTGGTACTTCGACTGCACCGAGACTTGCATGGGTGCTTGCTGGTAGATGGCACTGCTGTGTAAAACCCTATTCTCAGCTCAGTTGTTGAACCTGCTGCTGTAGTCTACAACTGTGCCAGACGACACACAGGAGGTAGAGAGGAGTGGGCTTATGTTGGACTGTCAAAACGGCTCAAGACCAACCAGTGTCCACACGCATTTCGGTACCATCTATCCACTGATTTTGCCTAAGGTCAGGCCCCTGACCTTGCTCACTTGATACACATTGGAGGACGTCGACAATATTGTGCAGCCAACGGTGTTGTTGAACAAAGACAACGAAGCGGAGACACATTGCTCTAAGCATCTGGGCGACTTCTAGAATACGCCCTCGACAACACGCTGCTCATAACTACCATCGTTTTGTTGCGATCGTAACGCGGTTGAACACAGCAATAAGTGCTGTTGGGCCACATGCAGAGCCATGTGGATGCACGGACGTGTGGACACGAAACACGAAGCTTTCTGTCGGGGCGATTTTCCCCGATTACCCCGCCGCGGGTGTTCAGAACTCCGCCTTACTCCGTTCTGCACATTTTTTTCTCATTATGACGAAAACGAATCCATCTTTATCCTAAAAAAGAGTCTAAGATTTCATCATTTGTTGTCTCCACTTCAACTCAACGCTCACAGCATCTGTGCCGTTTGCTCCAACCCACAACACAGGCACCACAATTGTTTTGAAAATACAGCAGAAGCTGCTACGGTGTAAGGGAGAGTTGGGACAAGCCTACTCTCGTAAATCCGGTTTTATCTTTTTTCGGAGTATTGTGCTATGTGTGCATTGCTCATGGTCGGGGCGAGTAATGTAGGCATTGCTAGTGGTCGGGGCGAAGCCGAAAACCCTCCGATTCTCTCTTAAATGTTCTCTCTCTCAAGCCATAGCCGCTGCTGCTGTATACTGTAAGATAAATCACAAAAATTATTCAATACCCGTTTGAGATAGTCATAAGAGTCGAAGAGGATGGGTTGAAGTGTTCGCTGTGAATGGGGGGAGAACGGCTGGGGCTTATTTGCGTATTTTTTTGCCCACTGCTGTATACTCTGAATATTTAACATTGTCATTGTCACGCCACCTACTGCCTCCCCGCCGCATCCGATACCTCTTTTTTTTATATATATATCTCGTCGCTTTTGGCCAATCCATGCTATGCATATCAACAGGAACCTTTGGCGCCGCCAAGGGCAGGAGAGTAGAGGGCCAAAGACAGGGCAGTCGTTGAATTGCGGCAGCGGCAAGCGCAACAGCCGAGCATCGGCACAGCATTTGACGCAACTCCTCCTCCTAGACAGAGAGAGAGAGACAGAAAGAGAGAGACAGGCAGACAGAGAGAGAGAACGACAAATTTGGAGGAGAGAAGCAGACAGAGACGAAGGGAAGGAAAAGGCGATGTCGGGGTTCCAACAAGAGGGGTTCGTGGGCAACGGCGAGGCAGTCACCACCCATGACCCATCCTCAGAGACGCAGGACCGAACAAGACGCAGCGGGGGACAAGGGCCGGTTGTAGCCAACCCCTTGGCAGGCAGTGCTGGGGGGGCAGCGGCGGCAGCGGGAAGCAGCAAGAAATTGGCGACCATCCTTTGCTGTTTGTGCGGGAGGCCGATACAGCCCAACGGTGAGCGCTTCTAGCAGCTAAGGTTGCATGTGCGTGCTTTTTGGTGGGTACCTCTCGCGCCCTTTCGTCGTGTTCCACGGAACGGAGTGTGCGCATCGAGGTTAGCTTCGATGTTGCTGCTAGTAGGGTGAATTCTCATAAAAATACGTGTCACGTTCGACCCTTCGCTGGCGGCCATTTTTTTATGCTTGTGCGGAAGGTGAGTTACTATAGCCGCTACCGTTGGTTTAATAAAGCATACGGAAGATACCACACCCACGGTTGAGGTCACATTGGATGCCATACATAAGATACCTCACCTCCTGGACGGCCTTCAAACTGGACTACAGTAGTCTGAAGCACGAAACAAGTATATTGGAGCAGGATTCTCGTCGATAGCTTTCCGGGTGTGACTGCTGTAGCCCTTTCTTCATCGTGGGAGTATTTGTTTGTTTAGCTGCATGCTTCTCTTGTGGCGTGTTTTTGCTGTTCACCGGAGAGCTGAGGTCGTACAGTAGCGTTGGTGAACAGTAGTAATCGGCTCCACCAGCAAGCTCCGGCTGTAGCCTTGTTTTTTGCGGGATTTTTGAAATTGCTTGACTTGGATTGCTGTCCTGCATGCCCCTGCTGCACGCAGACATCCTCTTCGCCATTTGATATAAATGCCTAGAGCCATAGCCCATTCTGTACTACCGTCGGCAGATACGCGCCAAAGCTTTTTTATGTCTCACAGCAGTACTGCAGGGGAGTGTTCTTTTCACACACCCAATTCTGCGAAAATGTCGGTATGTTCATGTCTCACACCAAAGCGAAGTGGCTCACTGCAGCGGTGTTTTCATGACACACGCCGAAGATTGTTGACTTACTGCAGCGCGCGTGTCGATGTTTTCATCCCGTAGGTGACACAAGATACCACACCCCCTGAACCGACTTTCAAAGCTCGATTACTCCACGACGGATAGGATGCCAAATTTCAATTAGTATGCTTTCGGACAGCTCTCGATGAAACCGTTCCAACGCCTCCAGTCGGTGCGGAAACAGGGCAAACTCGAACGAGGCCTAAGCACTGTGGTGCAGATAAAGTTTGAAGCCTGATGGTACATGGACGATTGTCGTTCTCGTTGGCGTGTAAGAAATTTTCCCCTTCCTTCAGAATCAATCACCGTTTTGCTGTGTGGAACTCTCTTGTCCGACCGCAGATGCACGTTGTCGTTGCTTTCCTTTAGGCCCTCCTGTTGGATGACGCTTTCCCGTTGTCTTGGAAGGAAACCGGATCCAACGCACACAGATTTCCAAGCTTACGCGATCGAACCCGATCGCACGCACGCACGCACACTGACCAGAAGGGCACTTGCATGCCTCAGCGTAAAGCCCGAATGTTGCATGACGTCACGTCATAGCATCTGATAAAGCCAATTATCGATCGTCAGACACTACCTCCAAATACCATAACAGGCGCATGAGGGCTATCTACTTCCTTTTTGTTCTCGGACAATTCTTGTTGGCTCATGGGTGCCGCCTTCTTTTTTTTCTTGCAATGCCGCAACAAATCCATCTCTTCCACGTACAAGAGTCCGGGATAAGTGTGGCACTGAAATATTTCATAGTATGGTATGATGACCAGCTTGTATTTCTTCATCTGCTTCTTTTTTTTTCGTTGTCTGCGCGATTTTGTTGGTTGGTGGCAGGTGCCAACATGTGCGGTGCGTGCCTCCGGGATCAGGTGGACGTAACCGAGGGCATTCCGAAGAAAGGGCTCACCATCATTCAGGTCTGTTGGCTGATAGAGGCGGGAGAACAAATTCGAACCGATTCGTTCTCATTCGAAGGGTCTGACCGTCAGTCAGGTCTGTTCACTTTCAGAGGCGGGAGAGCAAATTCGAACTGATTCGTTCTCATGGGAAGGGGTTCACCAATCATTCGGGCCTGTTCGTTGATAGAGGCGGGAGAACAAATTTGAACTGATTCGTTCTCATCGGGGGGGGCTCACCGTCATTCGGGTCTGTTCGTTGACACATGCTGGTAATAAATTAAAATGGATTTGTTCTCATAATATATTCAATCCGATTTGTTCCGATGCCCTCAACCACACCTAGTTTTTGTGCCTCGTGGTTGAGTGTGAAACTAAAGTTCCCGCACTTCTTCGCCCAGGTTAGTGAAGGGCTTCGGCGGGAAAAATCAATATAAATGATTCGTTCTCATCGTTGTGCCGCATCTGATCGTTGTGCCGCAAAGCAGGGGGGGGGGGGGGGACAAAGGTTCCTGGTGTCTTTACAAACCCCTCCCCCGGCGGGGATGGCCCAATCGGGTTTTTTTTTATGG